GTGAAAACATTATTGCGCAGAATGGCCATTGAGAGTTGAGTACAAAATTTGATTTGCACCGAGAAGAATTTGCATAGAAAACGACATGCGTGTACTAAACAGGTAATTACACTTTGACAGCGCCAATAAAATAAATTGTTGATAATATGGATATAATAAAATACCGTACTTGTGTGCGGGGTTTGTATCAATCGAACATAATAAGGAATTATAATTGAGCCGGCACGTTATGAGAACGTTTATTTATAGCAATTGTAGTAAAATGGTAGATTTGCGATAGTAGGAGTTAAGCTGAACTTTAATTTATAACATGCTCAACTTACAGTATCTTGGTATTTTCATAAATATCGCCTAATTATACAAATGTATGTCGAAAATTATCCAAAAACTAAACTCGAATATCAAGCAATTTTGGTCTAAGACACATTTAATAATTAAACTTTATTTGTTTTTTAACTTTACTTTACATCCTTTATTCGTCTAAATCATTTGTTGAAAACTTTCAGGCAAATAAAGCAGTGAACCTATCATATCAGAACTAAGTTACTATCATAGGCATATAATAAATCAACGAAATTGTAGTGATAATCCCAAACATCTACAGACAAAACGAACACGAACACTATTTCAAATTTTTTTTGCATAAATCTAATATTGAACTAATTCGGAGTCGCCTTTTGCGTCATACGAAGTTTCATTAGAATCGTCAAATAAAACTGTTCAAATAATAACGAAGAAACATCCCGACCGATCTTTACCAAAAACTAATCAGCACGATTCCCAACTAGCATCTTTCGGACGGTTTTTAAGTTATTCAGTTCAGGATTATTTGGAAAACGTTGACAAAAATTTTTCCAAAATTTTCCAAAATTCTCGAAATCTTCAAAAAACTGTTCGGCTAATCGTCTTGCTATAAACTGATCACCCCTAGTCCAAGATAGCATCAAATTGTTTTTAAATTTTTGAAATCGGTGAAGCCGAGAAAATGTCAGAAGATCAATAATTGACTCACAATTTGGGGTGTAATGATTTAGAATCAGTTGAAATGTACATAAAATATTAAATTATATAATCAAATTTTCTGTCAGAAACAAATTTCTCTTCAAGTTGTATACTAATTTCTGTTTATCCTCCTCAATGAGAAAAACAAGTTAACCATTTTATTGACTTTTGCAACAAAAAAATAGTCAACATGCAGCAGTGCTGTTAGAGGTTTCTGAAGTAATAAATTTTTAATGCCACTAGATTGAAAGGACTGATAACAGTAACTATGCTAATATCTTAATCAATTCAGTAGATCTTAATACAACTATGTTTGGAGAATTTAATCGTCTTTTAACGATCCTCTGGTAGCAAATAGCGTAATACTAGTAGTGCTGGGGAATAAATAATAAAAAACAAGACTTTAGGTATTGGAGACTAATAAAATATATTTTTAAAATTTGTTAATTTATGAATAAAGTCTAATGTAAGATTCAATTACAAATTAACTGAATCCATAAAATATACGTGTTATGCTTTACAGAATATTCTAAGTTTGAACTCTTGATCTGCACTCATTCCGCCGTGCAAACTTCCCACAATTTATCTTGATCTTCGTGAGTTTCCTATAAATCCACATTTGTATGCTATTTATTTATTACAAATACAAAATGTACTGTACGTGTGTTCAATTTGCGGAACTATTAGTAATGAGTTAGATTAAGAACATGAAATACACATTTGATCGATGTATTTAGTTTTATGTTATCTTGTTTACCCACTGAGTTTAATTCGATTAAATATTGGTAATGCTAAATATGCAATAAACCTTGCTTGATGTAAAAATAAATTAGAAACTTGTCTAATGAATATAATTGACGTAGTTTAATTAACTAATGTGTATGATTGCACAGATTGGCATATTAGCCTGGTTGTGCCATTTATAGTTATTTATTTATTAAATCACTTTAATATGGAAACTGATAGTTCGAAATAAATAAATGTAGGTACCATTTAGTCACTCATTAAATGACTTATATTAGAAACTCGTCTCACAAAATGAATAATACATTTATTCAAAATCCTTTTTTTTTTCATTATATTTTTAACAGCAATCAGAACCTTACGTCCTATGAGCTGTTGGGCTGTAACTTCTCCTTACTTCGTATTTTTAGATGGAAACCCAATCGTTAATCCATCCATTTTAAATAGATTATTAAAAATACAGTAACTTTGTCTAATATTTATGAAATTTTTTTGTAATCTCTGAAACGTGAAGATTTGCAAAAATTTTCATTTTCGTATTTTGGCCCATTACTATTACTTACCACAAGGGAAATTAATAATATAATATTCTATATGATGATACAAGGTATACTTTCTCGTATATCTGCTTAAGAAACCTTTAGTATTTAAAACCATCGTTTTTAACAATCAACATGCCAAACAAGTAGCCAAAACAAATACTTTACTAAACAAATATAAAATTGCTAATAAAACATGCAAAATGTGCAAATAGTAATAACAATTATGTAACCCAGTCGACCTAGTACGGAGAAGCAACTGTACAAAGAAAGCTGCAAGTATCATCTTTGAACGGTGTAAAATTTGCATACGGGTGTAAATTTTGAATGTATTAAAAAAATTATTAAACCTATTTGGATATAACTTTCTAAATCAACAATTAAAAGTTTTATAGTCCTCGGTGTCCGTCAATAGACAAACACGAATTTAAATTAGAGCATAATCTGATTAAAACATTGTATGAGAATTAAATATTAATCCATTAGCTCTCTATTTAACAAATACAACTGCTTAAAACTGCACGCGATATTTTCCCACAGTGTTACATAAACGACGATCGGTGATCAGAAAGCAGTTATTATAGTTTATTCGGATAGATTTTACTATCAAGTCACTTGCAATTATTTAATTATTATCAATTAGAACTTAGGGTACCTCCGAGGCCTACTGGTTAGAACCATGTATAAAAAAAATCTTCCAGATTCTGTATCTAAAGGATCGCCCATAGGTAAGCGGTTAAAAGCAACAGGACCAGAATCAGAGGTCCCGGGTTCGATACCCACTTCGAGCAGGCTGTTGTCAGGCTGCAGTGACAACGATTTTCACTTGGAAATATAGATAGCAATATGTTTCCAAGTGAAAATAGCACTTGCCCGGCACTAATAAAAAGTCAGTCCTATTAGATTAATTCTTATAACAAACTCATCAAATATGGATGGATTACCATCTAAAAAATACGAAGTGAGGAGAAGTTTGAGCCCAACAGCTCATAGCGCGTAAGGTTCTGATTGCTGTTAAAAAATATAAATAAAAAAAAAAAATATCCCGCTTCGGACAGCCTCTTGTCTAGCAGTAGTGACGTCAGTTTTCTATAAATTGCTGTCTTTATTTACTAGTGATTTACTCTGATCTGGCATTACTGTATCAATAAATATTCGCGCTTTTATAGAAATTGTATTAAAAAAATTCATCACATAGAAATGGGACAGCTGTTTGGGTTGCCATAAAACCAACGCAGTGTTAAGTCAATTCAGTACAGCAGCCTAAAGGTCTCTTAAGTTCTGATTGCTGTTCAGATATTTTTTTTTTTATTATTTTTTAACGACAATTAGAACTTACAAGTCCTGTGATATATTGTGATAATATGACTTAAAACTATTCGGTTCTAAAGATGGCAACCCAAACAGTTGTCCCATCTATGTATTATGAAATATTCATTACAATTTCTCTATTAGGGCGAATATTTTAACACTTTGGGGACGGCTGTCCACCTGAGTGGACAAACATGCTTTGTGAGGCACAGGAGGCTATTTTATAAACAATGACTCAGTTACTTTTTTTAATCTTTGAAACGAGCGAACGCTTTTAAATATGGCAAAACGACTGGTAAGCAGTAGTGAAGATGAGTTTCAAATAGACATTCATACAGACAATTTTTACGAAATTACTATTTGCACCGAAATAGTGATGAATGTGATGATGATATTATCCAACCAACAAAAAGAAGAAGTTCGACAAATTAAATAAAGAGCGGAAAGACATTAGTGAATGTGCCGAATATGCTTCAATAATCGAGTTTGACAAACAACCCGACTACAAATACTAAGCAATATAAGACATCCAATAGATTATTTTACTTTATATTTTACAAATGAATTATTAGACAATATAATAGAAAAAACGAACCATTATGGCAGCACAAAAATGAACAAATATACTGACTAATCAGTGGCATATTCTGGAAGGCGGCGAACAACATTTTATTGTAAAACATGTCAAAATCAACCAGCTATGTATTTTGGAAATTGTTTTGAACGTCGCGATTCTTTATAAAATGATCAAAAATAAATTAATCTTATAAATGTATGTCCTTCAATGATCACACACTTTTATCAAACAAATTGCATAACATACACAATTAAATTAAGTTTACAGCCGGTACAGTAAATTGTTTTGAAATCGGTGCCGTCCCGTAAGTGTTAATGATGCAGCAATGCCGGATAAAGGCTATTTTTACTTGTAAATATAAATAGCAATATATTGAAAATCGGTGTAACTACTGCTTTACATCAGGCGCCTCGAAGCGGGATCAAACCCGGGACCTCTAATTCCCAATCTTATTCCCAATTTTGAAGATAAATTATTTACTTTATAATCTATTATATAAAGTTACTATCGAAATAACGCCGACATGGTGATATGCATCCAAGACAACGAATAGGAGAAAATGACTGTGAAGAGTTCAACAACCGAAACTATCTTTGCTATCGTTGGATCTAATCCACCTTTGCCCCGCGACATGTTGGGTGCCCGGATTTGCAGAAAGATATAAGGCGAACGGTACTGTTCTATTGCTAGAGTTTGTACTTGAAAGATTTACAGTAACAAACAATTTGTTACGTTGGTTTAAGAAATGGAGTAGTTAGATATGGCACAACAAAGCATTGTCATACATTTAAAGTAAAGTTATAAAACTATTTATTATTATTACTCACTCATGTTAATAGCCCCACAGTTTTCCTCAATAACAATTATAATACATGATGATGTATTTCTATATGAACACACACACGACACTCGTACATGATGATGCACAACAGAATAAAAATTAATATGTTACTTATTATAGATAAATATAGATGAAATAACATAACTAAACTAATGAGAAAACTAAAATGATCCAACACGGTTTGACAGGTAGACGCTGCAGTGTTGACATAATCAGGTGCTGAGAACACCACGAACCTGTGCATATATTTAAAGGCGCAAAATTTAAATACATGATTAAGTGAAATTAAGATACAGTTTAATATATCAAAATATGTTCTTAAGCAGTCCATGTATTGGTGATTGATATCAAGTTTTTATTAAAAAAACACACTATTGTTACTTTTAGACTATTTGTCTAAACTAATGGAATAATTTGGTAGCAATAATTTGGTATTATAGTTGCTAAAGAATGGTTTAAAGTGGTTGAAGTCAATTTATGCTTTATATGCTTTCATTAATATTTTTACTTTAATTTGGTTTCTATAATGATTTTATTAGATATCAATTTTGTAGTTACACTTTGTTGTATTATACAAAAAGTCATACTTAGTTTTCATTGGAGCTAATTTGCTCCACCTCCTTTGAATCGTAATCAAGATCTTTCTACCAAGTATTATAATGATCTTAAAATTGACGCAAGAAATATCGGTCGATTGTTTTAAATAAGCATTCTCTGCATCTGAACATCATTCGATTAACTGTTATTAAAATCGCTAAACGCCCACAATCAAAAATTGCGTAATCGCAGTTGTTGTGAGCACCGGTTTGTAATAAAATAAAAATTGAATTACACACGCATAAAATTATCTGCCCACTTCGTACGCAGGTACACGCAAGACCCTAAAGTCGAAAATAAATATTGTTCGTTACATAAATATTTAGGGCTCGCCCGTAGGTAAGCGGTTAAGAGCGACGGGACTTGTTTCAGAGGTCTCGGGTTCGATACCCAATTCGAGCAGCCTGTTGTCAGGCAGCAGTGAAAACGAATTTCACTTGGAAATATAGATAGCAATATGTTCCAAAGTGAAAATAGTCCTTGCCCGGCATTGCTGCACCAATAAAAAGTCAACCCTATTTATTAATTCTAATAACAAACATCATCAAATATGGATGGATTAACTATTGGGTTACCATCTAAAAAAAATACGAAGTAAGGAGAAGTTTCAGCCCAACAGCTCATAGGACGTAAAGTTCTGATTGCTGTTAAAAATATTTAAAAAACATAAATATTTAAATAAAAGGTAAACCATAGGAAACATATTGCTATCAATGTTTTCATGTGGAAACGGACAAAGCTGCTGCTTGATATCTGGCTGTCCGAGACGGGTTAAAATCCAGCAACCTTCTGGTTGGGAGGGCATAACGCTAACTACAAATTTACATCAAAACTACAAAGAAATAAAAGAAAATTGAATATACATAAATCTTCAAGCTGTAATTATTACCTTACCGAGAGATTTTTTTGAATAAAAAATGTGAGGAGAAAGGATTTTTTTTTATTTAAATTTCTTATTGTTAGTAAATTTGTCCACCAATGTATTTTTATTATTCATGATGATGATCAACATTGAGAGTCTGAGAGAAAAATTATAGGAAAAAAAAACAAAATGCACGACGCCGCTGAGCCACTTTGCTCCTCGCGCCTTCTGTGTGCTTTGAAGTGAAAGTATGCGAACGCGACTTTCGCGAACTCCGCGTTGCCATAGTGTACACGACTCCCAAACGACTGCTGAGCAGACGATGAACGGAAGGCTATTTGGTGTTTTAAACTTGGAAGTTATTTAAAGAAAAAAACATTTCGGCTCTGTTAATATCCATAGACACCGTGCGTCCGAAACGTTAAGATAAAATTGATGCATTTAAATGTTTAACTCAACCTTTTTATTCAACCAACTCTGATTCACCATAGTACCCAAGATTCCTAAACAACTACCTATACAACATTCATAATCACAAAAAAATATGTTTATATATTTTCATATATTTTGTGGTTTCCATGTTGACAACTTAGGATTCGATATAGTTGGTATAGTAGAATACTGATTCAGGCAAGTCCGATATCAGACAGCATGATGTCAAATTTCCATTTGAGGTTATAGATCTCAAAAGTGATCTTAAGTGAAAATCGGCTTTCATGGGCATAACTTTAATATCACAGTTAGTAACAAGACAACTTACTAACATTGTTCAGAAATAATAAAACTATATCTCATTATCAGTCAGAATCAGGTAATCAATGGATTGCCTACTAAATGCGTCTTGAAAACCCAGAATTAAGCAGCTTGAAGCACAGTACATTGAACCTATAGTCCAATCATTATAGTAAATTCACCTCGAAATTCGAGATACCCAGCTGTAAGCCTGTAAATACTTGTATATTGACTTGACACCTTAAAGTTGTCTAAAAACCTACATATAGGTAGGGTGTCAATACCATATGTAGGTTTTGAGACAACTTTAGGGTGTCAACATACAAGTATTTACAGACTTATAGCTGGGTGTCTCGAATTCCAAAATTTTTACCTAATTTAAGCTAAAATGACTGGACTACTAATAGATCTGGTTTCTATACAATCATCCCTAATAATTAATTAAATATATCCTATCAGAAGGACTTGTATATAATCGCATATAATTTTTATCAAAGCTGATTGCTGATTGGCTTTTTTTTATTTGGGTCGTAACATAAGTGAAAGTGAAATGACAGTTTATTTTATTTAGGGACATCGCAAACAATGCCAGAAAATTACAATGAGTTATCTATAGTAATACAAAAATATTTAATGAAAAAAACAAAATTATTAAATGAGAAACATTATATGGAATGAATTTTAATGTCCTTGTATAAATCGTCGTATATATATGTATATATATATATATATATATATATGTATATATATACATAAAACTAAAAAGCTAAAACATGCTGGTAATACTCATCGTTCACAGATATTGTATGATTCTGTAAAGCATTATGTAAGTAAAAATACATCCCCAATAAATTTGTAAAAATATTTTTTTTTAAATTACTATATAAACATTCATAAAAGAATACTATCGTTAAAACATTTTATAAGGCATCAAAAGATTAAATCTCGCTTGATTACATGCTTGACGATAAAAACATCTCCTGAGCGTTCAAGGCTCGGCGGTTGCAATCATTTCGACCATTGGCAATCGATTTTGATAAGATTCATATCCATGCAATAAAATTATCCACCATATTAATATATTACATCAAAACTATTTGTCGAACACAAAACAGTGGGATTTCAAAATAAGCCATAAAGATTGTGCGGACTATTGATCACGCACGGAAAACATAACTTGAAGTCGAATCCGAGGAGACCGACACGCGCTTCGACTTATGCCTTTATTGAAGGATAAGTCATAACTTAAATTTCCTATGGCTAATAGTACACAGTTTCTAGGTTTAACAAAACTATTATTGAAATCCAATAAACAAAAAAATACTGATAGCTTCTTCACCTCTGAGCACAAATTTTCAAACGATGAGCACCCGTTCGACCGGTTATAAAGTATGTATATAAAATTAAAATACAGCCATAATGTTGCCACGGTTCTAAGACACTGTTGAAAAACTTAATGAATTTTCTTAAAATATATTCGACAAATTCAAAAAGCGTTTTAAAAATTATTACAAAATAATACGATTTACAAAAAGTCCTCAAAATATAATTGTTGGCAACTTTTGTATTTAATATTTTTGTTTTTTGAAAGTATTCTAAGTGCTAACAATTCTCATAAGAAAGCTCTGAGTATGTTTAACATAGCTTTATAATCATTCTGAGTATGCTCAGAGATTTCTACTAAGAAGGATTCTGGTTTGATACTCACCTTGTACGGCCTGATGTCAAGAAGTAGAAAAAAACGGTTTTTACTAGATGAATAGAAGGTATAGATAAATATGGTTGCATGTAAAATAGATTTATCCCGGCATTGCTGCATCAAATCAAAAATCAATAGTTAAAAAAATAATAATAATGAAAATGCATTTCAATATGGAATAAATTAAAAATAGATCAACCATTAGATATAAACTCACGTAGTTAAGTAGCATCATAAAAGCTCACAGGGTTTTTATAATCTGATTGCTGCATAGATTAAAAAATGTAGTATAATGCATGCACACGTGTATGTTGCATATATTAATAATTACACATTTGAATATTATTTTAATAAAAATATCTCGCATTAACTGTGTATTGCTTTAGTAATATTAAGCGGAATTTCTTATTATACAAATCTAAAAAACTATGTACCAAATTGGTTAAGGGGCACAACTAGTGTGAAATTATCGAAAAATCGAATTTTAAATTTTTCCGTATTTCTGATAGGTTATACCTTTGAAAATAACAGCCATTTAAAGAGTATATATATAGTATAACGATCATTTAAGCTTTAAACGCGTTTTTCTCAAAACAGCATTTTTCGAATTTACTGCAGCGATTACTTAAAAACAAATGAATCCGATCACTATCAAATTTTTTTCACGTGTTCTATATATAGTTTTCCTTAAAATGAGCTATCGATTTTTTGATCAGATCAAAAATCAAATTTTGGCAGTCCAAAAACAACCAAAATTTTGGTTAAAATTCGACTTTTTTGAAAAAAACGCCGTCATTTTGTCAATTTTTGATCGTGATCCTTTTTTGTCGCACCGTTGGAGATCGACGATAACTTACAAAATATTTAATTTTTTTAAAATTTTAATGAATTTAATTTTAAATATTCCCAAAAATCACCTTTTTTAGGCGGTTATACTAGTTGTGCCCCTTAATCCATAAACACAATGACATCAACGAAGTAAGCGATTGCCAGAGAACTTTGCCACTATAAGAGCTAAATAAAAAAAAGTTTATTTTATATTAAATTATGTTGATTTTGGAATCACTGACATTGGTCAGAGGATTGCACTTATTTTCTTATTAGGATAGGTGTAAACATTATATTATAATAATAAATAAAGAGCAATAACTGTTAAAAATATATGTTTATTTTGACACTGCACTTATATCTTAATGAATATGATTTACTATATTAATAGATGAAATAAAA